TAAAAAAAAAAAAAAAAAGTCAGCTGACGTGTGCATTAATGGCAAAACTATGATGGGTTTTATAAACTGCTCATACTCATATACACACTCTATCATTCTGTCCTTTTTTTTTGTCTGATGGACTCTAATGGATTTTTCAGATTCCCATGCAGGGATAAATTTTTTAGTGGGAGATACACATCCGGACAAAACAATTATGCTCATGAGTTTTTCTCTTTTTTTCCCCCTGACTTTAAAGTTGTTGTTTTTTTGGAGAAGGAAAATATGAATGCATAGGGCATGCACACAAGTACACACACACTCACTCAAATCTGTTGTAATATTAATCTGTCCGTTGCACATCTGCTTGCTTGCAGTGTGTTTTTTTCCCCATCAATAAAGCACTTATTGCTTTTAGTCTGGAATGTGACCTTGCATGTTGCATGCTGTCTTTGGACTGACCTTGAAGGACCTAATTTGACTTCACCCTCTCATTTTTCTCTCACTGCCAGACTGAAACCTTCTGCAACATACAATAATTCAGTTACATCCCGTTGCAGGTAACAAAAACAAACAAGCCGTGGAGAAAAAAAGGCACACACATACTTGCTGAGGACAATGGACAGAAAATGGCAGATGCATATTTTGACACACAAACGGAAAAGGAAATATTTTGTTTAAGCAGCACAGTTAGGCAGTAACCCTTCAATTCTGAGAACAAATACATCCCTGAAGCCTAATTATAAGACAAAGCATTTAAGACGTCCCCTGAGGACAGAAGGGCTGGAATAGGGAAAAGTAAAGTCTGAGGTGATCCGAACGGCTCTGCACGTGCCCTGATTGCACTTGCAAAGGAAGTCTGTCTCACAGCTGGCACAGTGTTTTCTGAAGAATGGGCCTCATTCATTTACAAATGAAAATCCTGTCATAATTTACTCAACATGATGTTTCAAACCTGTATGACTGACTTTCTTCTTTCTTTAATTTAAAAGTCATTGGACCCATATTGTATGGACCAAAAAAATAAAAACCTACAAAATACACCATACAAAAGTTTGTGGTCAGTAAGATTTTTTAAATGTTTTTGAAAGAAGTCACTTATGCTCACCAAAACAGTATTTATGTGATCAACGTACAGTAAAATCAGCAATAATATGTTTTGTGGTGTATTGTATAATACTGTAAAACATACTGTATTTACAATTTAAAATAACTATTTTCTATTTTAATGTATTCTTGTGATTTCAAAGCTGAATTTTCAGCATTGTCACATGATCCTTCAGAAATCACTCTAATATGCTGATTTGGTGCTCAAGAAACATTTCTTCTTATTATTATAGTTGTGCTGCTTAATATTTTTGTGGAAACCATGATACATTTTTTCAGGCTTCTTTGATGAATAGAAAGTTTAAAAGAACAGCATTTATTTGAAATATAATTTTTGTAACAGTGTACTGTAAAAGTAAACAATTTAATGCATCCTTGCTGAATAAAAGCATTTCTTAAAAAAAAATTAAAAATAAATACTGGATCCAAACTTTTGAATGCTAGTATATATAGAGTATTTTTCAAAAAGAAAGTAACACAGTTTTGGACTGACATGAGGGTGAGTACTGCATAATGACAGAATTTTCATTTTTGGGTGAACAAACTCCTTAAATCATCAATGGTTGTAGAGGGCCTAATGTAAAATAATCTGATTTTTACATCTAAAAATAATGAATGATGGTCTCATCACCCATTGGGTGGAAGTATGATTGAAGTGAACCCTGGCACAGGGCAGCCTGTGTGCAAAGCAAGAAGTTGACAGGAATCAAGGTTATGAGGAGAGGCTCCCTGTGGCCACTGAATGACACTTGAGCTGATATCTGCTCAGATTAACTGCTTGAGATTTATTTTTGTCACGAGGAGTGGTTAGCGTGAGGCTTTGGGGAGGCGAGCGGACACAGAAGAGTGTGGGCTACTCTAGTTCCTCCAGTGCAAGGGCACAACGAGAGGTTGGTGGCCGCTGGAGCCACCCAGACCGGAGTCTGTCACTCAGAATCATTATCTGTGGGGATATATTTAATTTAGTGGTTCCGGAGCTGCGCTGCTGAGTAAGCCAAGCCACCATTAGAGTCGTCCTCTGGGGGAAACACAGCACACGCCGCTCGATTAGTTATCAATTAAGAGTGCAGAAACCTCCACCTGCCGTGTGAGAGAGAGGGAAAGAGTGGCAGAGAAGAGCAGGACCCGGACGACGTCTGACTTTTTCTTCTGCTTTCCTCTGCCTCTTTCCCTCTCGGGCCTTCGAACGCCAGGTTAACCTTGATATGAAGCGCTGTCAAGCCAGATAACGTCAATCAAGGAGGGCCCTTTCAGATAACCTCAGTGTGAAACCTAAAAAGCAACCTGTTTAGATGTTTAGACATGCCCCCTCTCACCAGCATATGAATTTCATTAAAGAGATATGAGTTGTGGCACTTCTTTAACAAGATTCTTAAGACATTTTGACAGGCTTTAAGACACTTGCTGTTAAAAAAAATGAATTAATTAATAAGCCATGCAGCAAAGCCTCTGGGTCATTTAAAGACATCATCGAATGTCATTTTTGTTTCTGTGTTGAAACAAAGTTATATATATATATATATATATATACATAGTATAAGCACACAAATTAAACAATTTAAACATTGCATATTATTTATTGAAAATGTAGTCTCTCTTTTGAGAAATCTTATCGCTTTTTAAGAGTTCATTAACTTACCCTAGGTTTTCTTAGAAAAAATTCTGCTTGTAGGTTAACTGATTTCCATGCTACACTTTAACATTTGTTTTTCAGATACTGTAGCTCATTGAATGTTTTTGAAGTGATTTTCTCAAATTCTGCTTGCATTTTATCGCACACTATAGTTCCTGTTGCACATCTCCTTCAGAAACGAGAAAAGGAGGTGACGTTAAATCAACAACAAAAAAAAAAAAACATTTCCAGACAGGAAGCCTTGCTGACAGCTTCGATCCCTGGCCACCATTAAAACATTTGCTCTGCTTCAGAGACTCTGAATTTATTTATTTATTTTTTTACATTTTATGCACAGAGGAACAATTTGCAGGTGTCCCCTGAACTTCTTAGGTTCAGACTCTTTTAGTTCTCTAAGTTCCCTTCTGCCTGTCATTTTTTTGGTTTCTGCTGTGGTTTGTCTTTGAGATAAGGACGGCTGCTGAATCTGATCCTGGTGCAGCGTGTATGTGGGATGTGTGTGAGTGTGTGTGAGCCTGAGGTGTCTGGCTGTGGGTAAACTGTGTTGTCAGGTGGGCTTGCCGCTCTCTCCCCAGCAGGGTAAATACTAGGCGAGGACGATGTGGAGATTAACGCTGTCAGATCTGCAACAGTAACCCTTCATTCATTGAGCACCAGGGCCTACACACACTCACA